CTTGATACCGGCTGCCAACTAGACATGGAGCCATTGATCACTACCCGTTGAGCCCGACAATCTAGCCAGCTTTCTACCCACCTTGTAGTGCATTCATCCAGCCCATACTTCCTTAACTTGCTGACAAGAATACTGTGGGAGACCGTGTCAAAAGCTTTGCTAAAGTCAAGAAACAATACATCCACTGCTTTCCCTTCATCCACAGAACCAGTAATCTCATCATAGAAGGCGATTAGATTAGTCAGGCATGACCTTCCCTTGGTGAATCCATGCTGGCTGTTCCTGATCACTTTCCTCTCATGTAAGTGCTTCAGGATTGATTCTTTGAGGACCTGCTCCATGATTTTTCCAGGGACTGAAGTGAGGCTGACTGGCCTGTAGTTCCCAGGATCCTCCTTCTTCCCTTTTTTAAAGATTGGCACTACATTAGCCTTTTTCCAGTCATCCGGGACTTCCCCGGTTCGCCACGAGTTTTCAAAGATAATGGCCAATGGCTCTGCAATCACAGCCGCCAGTTCCTTCAGCACTCTCGGGTGCAAATTTGCAGATGACACAACATTATTTAGATTTCAGAGTGGTAACCGTGTTAGTCTGTAACAGCAAAAACAACGAGGAGTCCTTGTGGCACCTTAGAGACAAACAAATGTATTTGGGCATAAGCTTTCCTGGGCTAAAACCCACTTCATCAGATGCATGGAGTGGAAAACACAGTAGGAAGATATATATATATATATATATATATATATATATACAGTACATGAAAAGATGGGAGTTGCCTTACCAAGTTGGGGGTCAGTTCTAACGAGACAATTCAATTAAAGTGGAAGTGGGCTATTATCAACAGGAGGAAAAATCACTTTTGTAGTAGTAATCAGGGTGGCCAATTTCAAACAGTTGACAAGAGGGTGTGAGTAACAGTAGGGGGAAATTAGCATGGGGAAATTTGTTTAGTTTTTGTAGTGACCCATCCACTCCCAGTCTTTATTCAGGCCTAATTTGATGGTGTCCAGTTTGCAAATTAATTCCAGTTCTGCAATTTCTCATTGGAGTCTGTTTTTGAAGTTTTTTTGTTGAAGAATTGCACTTTTAAGTCTGTTATTCAATGTCCAGGGAGATTGAAGTATTCTCCGACTGGTTTTTGAATGTTATAATTCTTGATGTCTGATTTGTGTCCATTTATTCTTTTGCATAGAGACTGTCTGATTTGACCAATATACATGGCAGAGGGGCATTGCTGGCACATGATGGCATATATCACATTGGTAAATGTGCAGGTGATCAAGCCCCTGATGGTGTGGCTGATGTGGTTAGGTCCTATTTTTCCTCCTGTTGATAATAGCCTACTTCCACTTTAATTGAATTGTCTCATTACGACTGACCCCCCCCACACACACACTTACTAAGGCGACTCCCATCTTTTCATGTACTGTGTATATATATCTGCCTACTGTGTTTTCCATTCCATGCATCTGATGAAGTGGGTTTTAGTCCATGAAAGTTTATGTCCAAATACATTTTTTAGTCTTTTACATTATTTAGGTTAGTCAGGACCAGATAAGATTGTGAGGAAATTTAGAGAAACCTAACCCAGCTAGGGGAGTGGGCAACATGGTGGAAAATTAAATCAAAAGGAATGCACATTGGAGGGAACCATATAGATTACTCACACGCCTCCTAGGAGTCTAAATTAACTGTCTGAGCTTCAGAAAGGGATTTGGGTGTCACTGTAGACAGCTCAGTGGAGCCCCCTGTTCAAAGCGCAGCTGCAGTCAGAGAAGGAAGCCAAATGTTTGAATCTATGAGGAAAGGGATGGAGAATAATATTGAAAACACAATAATGCTTTTATAATAAATCAAGGGCGTGGCCTCACCTGTGTACTGTGGGCAGTCCAGGTCACCCCCATCTCCAAAAGGATATTGCAGAACTGGAGGGTATTCAGAGAAGTGTGACCAGAATTATCCAAGGCCTGGAAACACACTCCAAGGAAGAGAGATTGAAAAGGCTGCGATTGCTACATAGAAAGGAGACAAGTCAGAGGGGCCCTGATAAAAATGTATCAAATCATGAATGGTCCAAAGCAGTGGTTTGGTCCAGCCCCCATTTCTTTGTGTCTGTAGTCTTGGATGCTCCCTAATCCCCCTTGCTCCCGCCACACACGTACATATACCGCCCCCCAGCTCTGAAGGCAGCGGTGCCGCCAGCAGCAGCAACGAAGAAAGGGTGGCCTGGTCTGGCATCGCCACCCTTCCTTCTCCCTGGTGGCAGCACTGCCTTCAGAACTGGGTGCCTAGCTAGTAACCTCCACTCTCCCAAAGCTTCTCATGCCCCCTCCCCCAAAATACATTCCATGCCCCCTCCAGAGAAGTGCGCCCCCCAGTTTCAGAACCTCTGGTCTAGAGAAGATAGAGTGGAAGTTTCTGTTCTCTCTGTATCATAACACAAGGTCAAGGGAACACTCAATGAAATTCAAAGACGGGAATTTCAAAACTGATAAAGGGAAATACTTTTCATGCCGGGGTCATTAACCTGTGGCACTCACTGCCACAGACATTTCTTGAGGCCAATAACTTAAGATTCCAAAATGGACTGGACATTTATATGGATAACAGGATTATCCAGAGTTATCATAATTAATAACAATAATAATTCTGGCAGGGCATATTAAACCTTGTGTTTCGGGGTTTAGGTCAGTCTCCAACTCTAAGAGACCATGGATTCAGCAAGGGCAAGTCATGCCTGACCAACCTGATTGACTTCTATGATGACATAACTGGCTCTGTGGAGATGGGGAAAGTGGTGGACGTGATATAGCTTGACTTTAGCAAAGCTTTTGATACGGTCTCCCACAGTATTCTTGCCAGCAAGTTAAAAAAGTATGGATTGGATGAATGGACTATACGGTGAATAGAAAGCTGGCTAGATCGTTGGGCCCAATGGGTAGTGATCAATGGCTCGATGTCTAGTTGGCAGCCAGTATCAAGCTGAGTGCCCCAGGGATCTGCCCTGGGGCCGGTTTCGTTCAACATGTTCATTAATGATCTGGAAGATGGCGTGGATTGCACCCTCAGCAAATTCGCAGATGACACTAAGCTGGGGGGAGAGGTAGATACACTGGAGGGTAGGGATAGGATACAGAGGGACCTAGACCAATTAGAGGATTGGGCCAAAAGAAATCTGATGAGGTTCAATAAGGACAAGTGCAGGGTCCTGCACTTAGGGCGGAAGAATCCCATGCACCGCTACAGACTAGGGACCCAGTGGCTCGGCAGCAGTTCTGCAGAAAGGACCTAGGGGTGACAGTGGACGAGAAGCTGGATATAAGTCACCAGTGTGCCGTTGTTGCCAAGAAGGCCAATGGCATTTTGGGCTGTATAAGTAGGGGCACTGCCAGCAGATCGAGGGACATGATCATTCTCCTCTATTCGGCATTGGTGAGGCCTCTTCCGGAGTACTGTATCAGGGGGTAGACGTGTTAGTCTGTATCCACAAAAACAACAAGGAGTCCGGTGACACCTTAAAGACTAACAGATTTATTTGAGTATAAGCTTTCGTGGGTCAAAACCTCACATCTTCAGATGCATGGAGTGAAAGTTACAGATGCAGACAGAAATATACTGACACATGAAGAGAAGGGAGTTACCTCACAAGTGTCAAGGACCGTGCTCGGTATTCCAGGAGTGGCTGGACCCCAGCTGTGGAGAGAGGAACTATCCCGTCCCTGTCCCATGTCTCTCCACCGGCAGCCCCCAAACTGCGATGGCCTTTCTTGCTGTAACAGCACATGGGAAACTCAGGCCTAGTCTGCTCCTTCCTGTCCCCCAGGTCTCTTTCAGACAGTGCTGTTTCCCAGGTTCCCCTCTCCCATGGCGCAGCTGGATTTTGGATTAGCTCCATCTTCCCAGGTTATGTGAGTCCTGCCCAGGCTTCTGCCTCATTAGGGCCCTTTTTATTTTAGCTCTGTCCCGAGCTCTGAATTTACTGACCTTGGCTAACGTCATTCATGGTCTGTGGCCTTCTCCGGGTTATTAATGAGCCTGTTAAATAAGATGGGGCTTACCCTGATCCCGGGGACATCCACTACATGGCTCTCCCCAGCAATCTGCATTGCCATTGATCTGTGTCCCCTTTGCCACTTTCCGTTTCATGGCAATTAAGCCAGGAGTCTCCCAGGAAAGCCCGGCTACTAGCATGGGAAAGCCGATGGTCCAGGACAATGCCATTCAATTTTAAATGGGGCAATGTAGGTACAGCTGGCTCACAGAATCCCATGCTCTGGTGTTGGGAACGTGCCGTGGAGCGGGGGAGACAGGGAAGGGTGAGAAGGGCTGCCATTGAGGAGGGAGCTGGCTGACTGCCCAGCTGGGCGTCAGACTGGGAGCGCAGCAGACAGGCAGTTCCAGAGGCAGCGAGGGGCCAACGTTTCACCGAGGGGTGGGGGAGAACAGGCAGAGCGCTGGGAGGGAGTTAGACCGTGGAAGGAGCTGGCTGTTTTGGCAGGGCAGGGTGTGTGTGTGTGTGGGGTGGGAGGCGGTTATAGGGCACAGAAAGATCTGGGAGTTATTTGGGGTCCTAGCTGAGAAGGGCCTGGGAGATGCAGAGTGGTTTTTATCGTATAGAAAGGAGAAGCCACCAGCAGCCTCCCAGGGAGGGGGTGCATGGTGCTGTGTGTATGTGTGTGTGAGTGTGTGAGAGGCAGAGGGAGCTGTATTTGTGTTCTAGGAATGACGGGGCTTGCATCTCCAAAGGAGGGGATTGCTCACTGCCTCTGGCGACGGTGGGGCAAGGAGCGAGTGGCATGCAGCTGCGGAAGACGACGTTTGCACTAGGTTCTAGGAAGAACACTTAGCAATCAGGGCAGTGGGATGACCCTGGTGGGTCACTGGCACTGCAGACACCTGGAGATAGGTTAGAAGCAGCGGGCATGTCAGATCCCAGCTCATGGCCAGAGGGGTTTCTCTAAGAGCTAATCAGCTGACTCTGGCTCATTGCTTCCTCACAGACCTGGGAGCTGCAGGTCACCATGAAGCAGGGGAAGCAGACCGTGGTGGAACTGCTAGGCCATCAGGGCCACTACCTCCTAGTGGATCCTGATGGATCAGTCCGGTGTGGGCAGCCAGCATCCGTCCAGCAAAGCCAGTTCCTGTTGGAGCTCCATCACAGTGGCAAGTGGACTCTCCAGCTGCTGGACAGCAAGAAGTACCTGGAGTCTGACGGGGAGGATGTTTTCTGCGTTTCCCGGAGCCCAGCCTCCTACCACAAGTGGCTGCCCCAGCTGGCCATGCACGTCCACATCGTGCTGTACAACCCCACGCACCAATGCTACGCCCGAGCTGACGCAGACCTGGACAGAGTGTGGGTCGACACCCCAGTGCCTTACCTGGAAGAGTGCGGCTTCGTGCTACGGTTCAGGAACGGGATGTACCACCTGGAGACCTCCAGCCACAAGTACGTCTCCAGAGCGGAGACGCTAACCAAGAAACCCTCTGCACAGACGGCCTTCAACTTAAACCTCAAGCCCAGGTGCCTGGCTTTCCTGAGCGACCAAGATGGGTGTGTCCTGTACCCTCAGGGCAAGCGGAGGCGTTTGTGCCTTGGCGACAACCCCAAAGAGGAGGAAGAGTGGTTTGTTATAAAGAGGTGTCCACAATGGGTCAGTCTGAAAACTAAGGCCAAGAGATACGTGTCCATCATATGTGGCAAGTAAATTCCATTTTCCAGTCTGAGCATGTGTGGAGGGCCCAGCTGAAGGATGCCAGGACATGCCCCCTTGACCTAAGTCACCACCCGGGTTGACAGTTCTTTGGACAAGTCCTGCCCTGCCTTTGCCCTGTGAAGCCACCCCTGACTACAGTGAGGTTGCACAGAGGGCAAGCTGGGGTAGAACCACTTTTTAATAGGATTATTTCAGGGTGCAGGATAGCTGGGGTACAGCGCCGCAGAGGGAGAGTCCAGACACAGTTCACACCCCGACCATGGCAAAGCTGTCACAAGAGGCCAAACACCCACGAGAGGGTATCGTATGAAAAGGGGTGGGCGGGAGGGAGTGACCGGCAGGGGGATGTCTCAGAATGGGACGTATGCCTACATCACAAAAACCCACCGGCATCAGTGACACCCCCATTGCGTGTCTTAGCAGGGGGCGCCGGATTGAACAGGCCATGGGAAGGGATCTCCCTGCTCATCTCTGCAGCGATCTCTCCAGGACAGGGCTGCTGTACGCTGGCAGAGCAGTGTGGGGGGAGCTTGTCTGGCCACTGCCCATGCGGTACCTGTTAGGAGGATACAGGCAGGGCTTGCTCGTCAGGGCTAGCAGTAGGGCAGCCAGCACTCAGCACTTCAAAAGACAGAAATAGGCAGAGCAGAGACAGTGATGCACCTGACGCGTACATTGAAAGCTGCCTAACGCTCTCCACTCTGAGCAACGGCAAGCAGGGTATTCTAACCGCTCCACACTTACAGTGTCTGTGCTGAGATTTCCCAGGCCAGGAGTCTGCCTCAGGCGAAACTCTTCTTCTGGTAAGTTGCAGCTAAATTGGCTCCGCTGTTTCTGTGACCCGGGCTAGGGGGAAATGGGTTGTTCTGCCAACATTACAAAAATCCTTAAAACTGCTTTGTTGAGAAGCTCTCGCAAGGTTGCCAACTCCTGCAACTTAACTGTGAGTTTTGCAATTTTTTGCTGCTTTTCTTAAAGCCCCAGCTCCCAGAGGCATGTGATTGGGAAAAATCTCAGCTTTTTATTTTTTTTTTTTAAAGGAAAGTTTTTAGCCCACCCGGTTAAAATGTGATCCCTAAAGACGATGACATTGGTAGGCAAGTAAAAAGAATCCATATGTTGTTATTTTTAAAAGTCTCATGATTTTACAGCCAAAAGTTATGATTTTTCAAGGTCCAACCCTCTTTGAACACTTGAGGTGGGCAGTACTGCTCCACCACTTCCATGCTTTGGACCAGGGATTTGAAAATTGACAGGAGGCTTCACCTGGTTGTCAGGGAGGTACCTTTTTCTGTCCCGGTAAAAATGTGCCCAAATTTGGCCAAATTCTGACCCTCCGAAATATCTCAGTTCATGCATGCCCGTAGAGACTAGTTAGAATTTGGCAGCTAAATTCTCTGAATATTCCAGCTACACTGAGCATGCTCCAGCCCCTCACATCTCCTGTGTGTGACCAGACCTGCACAGAACGACTGAGCATGCCCTTATCCTGTAGGTTAGTCTATTAATGAATTTAGCTTATGGGCTACAGCCTGAGCAGGACTTTTCCTGCCATTTGCTGCTCCTCAGTGCTGGAGGCTGCTGTGCCACTGGGCACTGGAACTGCGAGCAGAGAGAATGTCTCCCCTTTGCTCTCAAATCCTGCCCAGCTGGGGACCTGGTAGTGAGCAGGAGGAGAAGGAGGAAGCTGCCTGACGCAAATGCAGAGGGATGGGGGCAGGGAAAGGAAGAGTTGCAGGGTTGGGAGGTGCAGGGGAAGAGCCCAGCGGGAAGGGAAAATAGGAGCAGTGTGGGACAGATATGCAGAAGAAGAGGCTGGGGGTGGGGGATAGAAGCTAGGGGGAGAGAGACAGGAGCTGGGGAGCGAGGGGATGGAGCAGCAGAGGACAGAAAGAGAGTGGTGGGGACAGGGGCAGAAGGGTCTGTGGTCGCTGGAGCACTTTCCCCTATGGAACCTGGAGATGAATCCATTATTCCTGAGGGTCAACATGCCTCTGCTGTCAGCAAATAGCTGAGAAACCCAGGGGCCAACTGTGTCTCCAGCCCCTTAGAGTGGCAGGTCCATATTGAAGATAACAGCCTATCACTGCTGTTTTCTCAGTCGTCACTCAGCTAGCACAAGTGGAGGTCTGTGCTGTGGATCTGAAGATTCCCAACCCTGGGGATCAACTTATTTCTACACGATGGAATGTTTGTTTTGAAATTTTTTATGTTTTTTTTTTAAATGTGAAAAAAACCTACATTAAAGAACATGAAGGTTGAGCAAAATCGAGCACTCAGAAGTTAGGAAATGCCAGAATTGAGATTGCTTGTGCAACCATAATTCGACCTCCCACATGCATATGGGTTATGATAATCACCTGTTCTCTTCATTCCTTCTTAAGCACCTGGCATTGGCCACTGGGCTAGATGGACCTTTGGTCTGACGCAGCATGGCCATTCTTATGATAGTCTTTAATTACATGGTCACGTACTTTTCCCCCCCACAGGACCCCTGCCTCATTCAGTGCACAGCATGGCTTTGCTCTGGGATTAATCAGTGCAGAAGGTAGTTGTCTGTAGGCCCCTTGCCCCTGCCCTCTGCAGACATTGGAAGGCAGAGGCAACGGTTGAGGGGGGACACGTGGGGTCACTCCCCCCCCCCCCCCGGATTTGCTGCTTGGCTTGTACTGAGCATCCTCACACGGACTGAACATGCTCAGTAACACCTGCTGAAGCCGCTGCCCTCACTCTGCCCCCACACTATCGGCAGGTCCGGGTCGTCTCTGTGGGAAGGTGTGTAGGTTTATAAGGCCAGGGACTGAAAGATGGGAAAGGATGCTCTCAGGATTAAGGCAGAGCTGAATGCCACTCTGGAGGGTTGGTTTCCAGCCCTGCCTTGACACAGAGTTCCTGTGTGATGCTGGGCAAGTCACTTAAACCAAGGGTTTTCAGGCAGCTGCCGCGTGTTCGTCATTTTCTGCGTTCCCCACTTAAGACACCAGGGGTCTGATTTGCACAAGCATTGAGCCCTCACAGCAGCTGGAGACCAAAGTGCTCTAAAGAATCAGGCCCACGACATTGCAGTTTGGGCACCCACAATTAGTTGACACTTTGGGCTTTAATTTCCATGCCTCAGTTGCCCACCTGTGAAACGGGGATCCCTCCACCTGGGGTGTTGGGAGGATAAACTCATTCATGTTTTTAAAGAATCAAACAAGATACAATAATGAGAGCATAAACTGCTGGGGCCCCAGTCCCTTTCTGAGAGCTCTCGGAGCTGCTATAATTTGGAGACCGAATCTCAAATCGACCCTGAGCCAACCTGCAGCGCCCTGTCTGAGTGTGTTTGGCTTGAGATTGTCTGATTTTTTCTCCTTCTGCACAGACACAGAAGTGTATGCCGGCTCGGACATAGTGACCCCAAAGTCTGTGTTCCACTACGAATTCAATCCAGACACCAGCGCGGTGCAGCTGAAAACAGTTAACAACCACTACCTGGCCCAGGTGAGCGACCCCTCTCCTGGCTCGTGGCGGGACGCTGTTGGCCCAGACAGCCTGAGCCTGCCACTGAATCTGTGGGCGTTTCGCTCACCATTTTAGTGCTTGTCTCCGGACCCCTTTCTATTTCTAGATGACCAGAACTGAAAACGCTCTTCCAGGGGAGAGTGTCCCATTGATTTACACATTATTATACTAGTCTCTTAATGAACCACAAGGGATAATTCCATGTAATAGAGACATGGATATACAAAGCAGTATCCCCAGGGTTCATGCTGTTTCTTTAAACTACCCTCACCAGATCCCCAGGGAACCTCCTCCCTTTCACGGCGCAAGGCTGCTCTTGTTGAGAGTTGAGCCCTGGATCTCCTGACTTCCCGGTGCAGAGCACTGGTAGGAAGGGCACCCTGGCACCACCTGGCAGGAGCTGACCTCTTTCCTTCCATTCCCTGCAGAGAAAATTCAAGAGCATAGTGGCAAATGGGAGACGCATGGAACCAGAGACCAACTTCCGTGCCCTGTGGCATTGTGGGAAAATCTTCCTGCAAGCTTTCAACGGCCGGTACCTGGGCACCATGCCCATTGGGCTAGTGGTGGCCAGTGCTGTGCACCCAGGTAAGGCAAATGGGTGGGGGGACCCCTAGGAACCTGCCAACAGCGAAGCAGTGCAGCCCCCTGGCATCTCTGTGGCACATGACTGAGACTTCAGGACTTGTTGTGGGGAGGGGTGCATATTCTTAGGCCTCCCTGCCTGGAGCCTGTGGACCCACCCGGCTGCACTCACACTAACATTCCCCCATGTCTCTCATATACCTGATATGCGCCCCCCCACACCTTGCTGTGAGAGTGGATGGCATTTCTCTGAGGGGCCCATCGCCCCCACACTGGGAGCGGTCACAGATGAGGGTCTCCCTCCCTTCCTAGGGGCTCAGCGTGCTGCCTTCACCATGCCCCCAGAACCTCAGGGAGTGAGAGAGACCATTGCAAGGAGAACTTTTATTTCTTTGTGAGTGAAATTTGGGTTCAGAGGCCTTAACTAGGAGGACAAACCCCATACGTCAACATCCAGAGCTCCTTGTCCCTGGTCTGAGACCCCACCCAGCTAATTCCATGTCTCCACACTTGGGCAGCCCTGTATGGCCAGCTGATGCCAGCTCTCCTCTGTGGCTCTACCAGCAGGAGGCGCTCATGTAACAAGTGGCTGTAGCCCTCTCCCCTCATCCTCCCTCCCCCCCCCCCGCATGAAACATCTGGGCTGCAACAGTTCAAGTGGCCGATACTCTCCTCAACTCACCTCCCAGCCCATGGCGCCAGCCCCAGGCCTCTCCCACTTCACAGGAAGACAAGGAAGAGCTTGTATGTCAGAGCTGCTTGTGGCGGGTTAGACCCCCTTTGGGATGCCACCTGATGTACTGGGGTTTCACTGAGCCTCTCGTCCTGCTCCACCAGCCTGGGGTCCCTCTCCCTGTTTTGCTGAATTAGGTTTTCCAGCCTTTTGCAGCACACATACGTAGGTAGGGCCACACCCAGCTGCGGACACAGACCGAAGTCAGCTCTGTGTGAGAGGACTCCCCCAGCACTCACATACACACCCCTTTTGGGGAGTAAACCCAAAATAATACTGTCGTGCACTGTATAGAAAGATCTGCCCAGCGCAGACTCATAAAATTCGCCCTCTGCCTCAATGTGAAGAGAGAGATGCATAACTTCTTGCCCATCCCACCCCAGTTAGAAATTGCACAAGCTGGGTTTAATAATAAACCAAGCAAATTTATTAATTATAAAAGGCAGATTTTAAGTGAGTATAAGAGATAACAAACAAAACAAAGCTGATTACTGAGCAAATAAAACAAAATACGCAAGCTAAGCTTAGTGCACTCAAGAAACAGGTTACGAAATGTAATTTCTTACCCTACATGTTATTTTAGGCAGGTTGCAAAGTTTCTATAGCTTAGAGTTCCAGTTATTTCTCTTTACAGACTAGACCGCTGTCTCAGCCTGGACTCCCCCCCTTGCCTTCCCTTCAGGTGTCTTTAAGTGTCTTTCTTCTTGGGCAGACAGGCCATGGAGTGGAATCCCGTTCGCCCTCCTCCCCACCCTGAAATAAGATTTACAGAAGGTGGGAATCTTTTGTTTCCCAAACTTGACCCCCACCCTCCTTTTAGTGGAAAGTTACAAGAAGTCCCCGGTAATGTTTGGTATCAGGTGACAAGACCACCTGACCTAGTAGTGTCCCGGCTAAGTCCCCGGACGCCTCCCAGGAGGGAGAGACATTAGTATCTTCACAGTCTTGTGGTTTCTTCCTAATGGCCCATCAAATCTGATGGCCTGTCGTCTGGTGGATGTCTTTCAAATACACACCCAGTTGTAATGGTTACATAGTCCATATTCCTCACTTTAGATACAGAAAAGATACATGCCTACAAATTGGATAATCACAGCCATTACATCAGAACCTTTCCAATGATACCTCACATGACCCATCTCGCATAAAACACATCTTAGTTATGCCTTATTCCTCTCATAACCATCTTTCTATGAAGACTATGGGGTGTAACGTCACACCATCGACCTGCCTCTGTCACCCCTCCCCTCCCGCAGGGCCTGGCGAGGCCTTTGGGGTGCGCCTGGCCAACCGCTCCTTCCTGGTGCTGCGTGGCAGGTATGGCTACGTGGGGACTTTGGCCTGCCATGACATTCTGCAGTGTAACCTGGTGGACCCCGACTGCATTGAGCTGCTGCCCTGCAAGCCGGGCATTTACCACTTCCAAGGTAAGGGAGCTCTGGGGGTCCTGGCCACTTGGTGCTGAGCCCAGCTCTGCCTCAGGGCAAATGGGGCCCATGTGAACCTGACCTCAGCCCCACCCACCTCTGCTCTCCAGCTCAAGTCCTGGACCGGCCACGAGGGCAGAGCAGGTCAGGGCTGCATGGTAGGGGGTGCCACAGCAGCAGCCAGGGTGGGGCATGCCAGCTGGGGAGGGAAGCAAGCTGTATGGTCCTATTGCCGTATGCTCCAGCTGCCCACTCCCAGATCTCAAGGGGTGTCTTACCCCCATCCCCGTCTCACCAGATCTGCAACCCCGGAGGCAGAAAGTGCTGGGAAAGCCAGAGTGCAGAGTGGATGGTATTCACCTCCGTGCACCTTCTTGGGCCGAGATTAGATGCAGCCCCCCCCCCCCCCCCCCAGCTGGAGGCAGACGGGTGGCACCAGCCGTTTACCAAGCAGAGGGGTGGAGTTTGGGTCCTTACTCTTCGGCCTGGCAGGGGATGCAGCGTCAGCATGTTCGGCTCATCATGGGAGGGTGGGGCGAGCAGACCTCACTCGAGCCATTGCAGGGGCATCAGGCGCCGCATGGAAATGTTGGTGATTAAGCCAATGAGCCTGCAGGCTCTGGGGTGCTGCCCAGGGCTCTGAGATGGGACCCAGCGGGAGGAGAAAAGTGCATAGCTTGGCCAAGAGTAAATGGGATTTGCTGGTGAAGATGAGCATTGAGTTTCCAGGCTTGTTGGGGCATGAATGTGAGTTTGGTGATCTTGCTCTAACCTGCAAACCTGGTGTAATCAGAAGAGCCCCTTGGCCCCTTCAGTGAATCCTCGCCCAGTGCCTGAGGGGTGGAACGGTAGCAAGGACCTGCTCGCGCTCCCCTGAGCTATCACCAGCTCTCCTTCCTTCCCCAGCCCACGGCAGGAGCTTTTGGTCTCTGAGCTCAGACGGCACCTTCAGAACCTGGGGGAAGTTTGCCTTGAACTTTTGCCTGGAGATCCAAGGGAGTAACATCCTGGCCGTGTTAGCCCCCAATGGGTACTACATGAGAGGAGACCGGAGCGGCACCCTCCTGGCAGATAGTGAGGAAGTCACTAGCGAGTGCCTCTGGGAATTCTAGATGGAGGAAGGTACAGAGGAATCTCTCCTTTCCCATGTCTTGCTGGACTGGCTGGATAGCCACTATGCCATTGTCTAGGCGTGCAAAGACCATGGCCTATAACGCTGACCAGTGTTGTCTCACCATTTCCTTGTGCTCCCCCATCTGTCTCCACCTCTTGTCTCTTCTCTTATATTGCAAGTGCTTAGGGGCAAGGGCTGTCTTTTGTTGTGTGTCTGTACAGCGCCTAACACAGTGGGTTTCTGATCCATCACTGGGGCTCCTAAGTGCTAATACAAATATTAAATAATATCCGGCCAGAGTCCGGTAGGTCTCAGAGGACATGACACCCACTTCTTCACCCCACCTGCCACAAACACTTCTGCTAAGTCTGAGCAGAGAGGCCCAAATGAAGGGGTGGCTCAGCGAACGGGGAATGCCCTAGAGAGTCTTCCAGTGCTAAATGGCTGGTTCTAATCCAGGCTGGGTTAGTAAAGACTGAAAATTACAACTATTCTGTGCCTGGCACGAGTTCTCGTCTCCACATCACAAAAGCTACCAGGGTCTATGGGGAAGCCAGAGGCTGAACGCTGCTAGGGGTGGCTCCTTCATACCTGTGCTGGCATTGTTCGTGGATGAAGCATGTCAGTTCACAGGCGCTGTCAGTCTGGCACCTGTCACCAGCACGACGCTCTGCTGGCTAATGTCTCCATCAGCCCCTTTGTGCCAATTCCAGAGCTTCCACTCCTCTCCCCTAAGATCCCACTTGACCCCTCCTGCTCTCTCAGGGGAGACCCAGCCGGGTGATTTTTGATAAACAAAATCTTTCGATAACACCCTCTTTGATGATTTTTTAAAAAATGGAGCAAAACTTTCTGCGAAAGGTGACAAATGTGGATGATGTTGGCTGCCTGTTTGTTGTGAAAATGTTTGTTTTTGATAAAAGGGTGGTTTTTCCCTCCTACGAAAAATCTTTTTGTTTGGAAAAAATTCAACTCGCTCCAGATGGGGGCATTTAAAACCAGCCTGGCACAAAGCACGGGACCATGGGGCCGTCCAGCCATGGCCCTTGGGCTGGTGGAGTGAATGGGCTCTTCTAGCTTTAACTTCTAACGGAGTCATCCCCTGGGGGGCCATTCCCTCATCTGCCATAAACCAGCCCTGCACCATTGACTACAGTGGAATGGTTCTAGCTTACACCAAGATCTTTGAGTCCGTCTACGGAGGAACATGCCCCACTTTTGCTAATGCAGCCTTTTGTCTGCGTCAAATACTTTCTGTATTCTGGCCGGCTAAGGGCCCCCACCTCTGGTTTTTCATCTCTTCTTCTGAGTGCTAGAGTTTAGGGGGGCTGATGGATTTGTTTTGCCTCCTGCTAGGTGGGGAGGAGGCCGCCGGGCACTGAAGCCCCCTGGGGAGAGTGAGGGCGTGGCATCAGAGCGGCTGAGCGCTGTGTGGGATGAAAAACTCCACCCAGCACGTACCCATTCCCTGCGGCTCCGGGATTGCGCAATAATACTCAGCAGCGTGTTCACACTGGACGTGACTCTCTCTGCACTTGGGTTAGCAGCATAGCTCAGACACCAAAAGCATTGGGAGAGCGAGAGCGCCTTGAGCCAAGCTGCACGGCCGAGGGCTGCCTAGACATCCTGCCGGGAGCCCACGGACTGGGCCTGACCTGTATGAAACAGAGCAGGTGGCAGCTGCTCCCCTCTTTAATGGTACCCTGAGGTGTGGCCCACAGAGGCTGCAGGTCCCAGCATGTAGAAAGGATCCAGGGACCTGTAATCTCCGGGGGCATCATCTTCATATGGAAGATGGGGAAGGCGGCAGGCCATTGGGTGGGTCTCTTGGTCCTCCAGTGGGGAGAAGAGGTGTCTGTTAAGCACCATGGCAGGGCAGCAGGGAGTTTCTTTGCCCCTAGCAAAAGAAACCAACCCATGTGCTTCAACCCAATGAGCCATGCACTGCAGCTGGCTGGGAGGGGCTTGGAGGTGCGCTGCCCTTTCCCATCCTTATTGGTGCTGCTCTTTCATCACCCAGAGGGGTGACTGTAAAGGTCACATGACACTTGTCTAGTCCCTTCCCTCTGGGCCTCAATAGCTTTCTCTTCCTGCCAGCCCAGACCTCTAAGGCTGCTGAACACCTTCAGCTTCCATTGGCTTTAGTGAGATAGGAGTGTCCTCAGCCCTTCTGCAAATCAGACCACATTAGATCAGGAACCAAACCCAGGACTCCCCCATGGCATTACAGAGCCCCAACACAGTACAGGGGGTCGGTCTTTCTGCATGCCTAGTGCCTGCTGACGCACCCAGAAACTGAACCTGGATCTCCTGCATGGCAGAACCCGAGCCCCTACGATCTGTGGCATTGCAGCGTCCTTGATTCCTGGCCAAGTGATGCTGTAACATGGAGGCCCTCTCAGCTCCCCAACTGTCACTGAACATGCTGAGGTGCCAGGTTTGAAGACAGAAGAATGGAGTTTGGGTATAAGTAGGGGCATAGCGAGCAGATCGAGGGACGTGATCGTTCCCCTCTATTCGACATTGGTGAGGCCTCATCTGGAGTACTGTGTCCAGTTTTGGGCCCCACACTACAAGAAGGATGTGGATAAATTGGAGAGAGTCCAGCGAAGGGCAACAAAAATGATTAGGGGTCTGGAACACATGAGTTATGAGGAGAGGCTGAGGGAACTGGGATTGTTTAGTCTGCAGAAGAGAAGAATGAGGGGGGATTTGATAGCTGCTTTCAACTACCTGAAAGGGGGTTCCAAAGAGGATGGCTCTAGACTGTTCTCAATGGTATCAGATGACAGAACGAGGAGTAATGGTCTCAAGCTGCAGTGGGGGAGGTTTAGATTGGATATTAGGAAAAACTTTTTCACTAGGAGGGTGGTGAAACACTGGAATGCGTTACCTAGGGAGGTGGTAGAATCTCCTTCCTTAGAGGTTTTTAAGGTCAGGCTTGACAAAGCCCTGGCTGGGATGATTTAACTGGGGATTGGTCCTGCTTCGAGCAGGGGGTTGGACTAGATGACCTTCTGGGGTCCCTTCCAACCCTGATCTTCTATGATTCTATGATTCTATGGGTGGTGAGGGAGGGGGAGGAGGGTCTCATGGCTGAGGTACATGCTCAGGAGAATGGAGTTCTAGTCCTGGCTTCCTGTCTGACCTCATCCACTCACATCCGCTCTTTGTGCTTTGAGAAACGGCAGAACTGGGATTAATTTGCAAACTGGACACCATCAAATTAGGCCTGAATAAAGACTGGGAGTGGATGGGTCATTACACAAACTAATTTCCCCCTGCTGATACTCTCACCTTCTAGTCAACTGTTTGAAATGGGCTACCTTGATTACATTGGCCTCATTAGCACTGCAAAAGTGATTTTTTCCCCCTCGCTTGGTATTCACCCTTTCCTGTCAACTGTTGAGAATAGCCCACTTCCATCTTAATTGAATTGTCTCGTTAGCACTGACCCCCCACTTGGTAAGGCAACTCCCATCTTTTCAAGTGCTGTAAATTTATACCGGCCTCTGTATTTTCCACTCCATGCATCTGATGAAGTGGGTTTTAGCCCACGAAAGCTTATGCCCAAATAACTTTGTTAGTCTCAAAGGTGCCACAAGGACTCCTCGTTGTTTTTCCTTTGTGCTTTGTTTTCTCCACCTGTAACATGGCGGGAATTTCCACTGTTCCGGGGGGACCAGCCATTAACGGTTGGGATTGTTGGGTGGAAGGTGCTATGGTCACAAGGTGCTTTTTGTTCTTTAATAATCTTTGCGTGCTTCTGCCCCTGGATTTCATAGAATCACCTATAGTACGGGCCGGAAGGGGCCATTGTGATCACCTGGTCTGACCTACTGCATAGCACATGCCAGAGAATCTCAGTAATGTCTTCATCAAGCCAAACTACTTCTGGGCTCTGTCCCCTCCCCAGATGTGTGGTACTGGCCACCAGGGCAGGTTCCCATTCACAAGTCAGGTGCCTTTTAACGTGCGTGTTTATCCATCTCCAACACATAGAATCATAGAATATCAGGGTTGGAAGGGACCTCAGGAGGTCATCTAGTCCAACCCCCTGCTCAAAGCAGGACCAATCCCCAATTAAATCATCCCAGCCAGGGCTTTGTCAAGCCTGACCTTAAAAACTTCTAAGGAAGGAGATTCTACCACCTCCCTAGGTAACGCATTCCAGTGTTTCACCACCCTCCTAGTGAAAAAGTTTTTCCTAATATCCAACCTAAACCTCCCCCACTGCAACTTGAGACCATTACTCCTTGTCCTGTCATCTGCTACCACTGAGAACAGTCTAGATCCATCCTCTTTGGAACCCCCTTTCAGGTAGTTGAAAGCAGCTATCAAATCCCGCCTCATTCTTCTCTTCTGCAGACTAAACAATCCCAGTTCCCTCAGCCTTTCCTCATAAGTCATGTGTTCCAGTCCCCTAATCATTTTTGTTGCCCTTCGCTGGACTCTCTCCAATTTATCCACATCCTTCTTGTAGTGTGGGGCCCAAAACTGGACACAGTACTCCAGATGAGGCCTCACCAATGTCAAATAGTTTCTCTTTCTCTTTCTTTTCTTTTCCTGCCTTTGTTTGGGAAACAAGTAATAAATCATGCTGGGATAGCACTGGCTTACCATGCCATGGCAAAGGGCTGGAGGAGCTGCCAGAGGTGGGGGGTGCTTGGTGCACCCAGCCTTCAGATCTGGAGTGGGAGGGAAGGGGAAAACTGGTCTTCCTCTGGGGAAGTACAAGGGCTGCCGGGAATCCATCGAGACCTAGGGGCTGCCTAGGAGCCAGCCTTCAGTGGTTGTAACTAGAGTTCCTGGAATGCGATGAGTAACCTGCGGTTCTGATGTCAGTGCAGTGGGTCTCGGCAAGTGATTATCAAACCTACTTCACAATTTATTGTCTCCAGTACATTGAATAACAGGCTTAGAACGGGGCTTAGCAGGATTAGTAACAAAAGGATCAGACATTCGTATGGCTAAAGAAGTCCCTTCCCAGAGAGGATA